GGAAAAGTGGAATTAGTAATCCAACAAGTAGATATCCTGACACAAGTCATGCAGCCAATTCAAACACCTCATCCCACGTTATTGATAGACAGGGTAAACAATAATTTGACTAAATACATATTTGTTTACTAGGTTACACCTGTTGTGACAAGACTCATTTACAACAACTTGGTTGTAACAGCCAAAGTAGGTGCAACACAGTTCAAACCGGAGATCTATCGTTTGGAATTCATATGTTTAAGGTAACGAGTTAAACAGAAATAGTGGCCATTCATCATCTTTAGTCCAGTTTGTGCTTACAAAAAGATATTACTATTCATTTCTCATCATTTCGATTAGTTAGTTCCTCGCTTTTGTTTTGTTTTGTCCTTTACTCTTACATCTTACCACTCTTTTTAACCACGAACCTGTCACATTCTCCAACCAAGTTTATGTACATTTTTGATTTCAGTGCAATTTACTGTCCATCAACATATTTTATTCTATTTCATTATCAACCCTGTTATTTACCGCCCCTCTAGCACCAATTCCATCGAATCTGAATCATTCACTAATAAATCATATTTAATTGGAGTTTTTAGTTGCCTGTTGGTAAATGGACGTGATTTCTGAAGTGGAGCTGCTTTGCAGAGAGTACTTGTGTCCATTTTTTGTATGGACATAAATTGTCTTTAATCCACTATCATGCGAAGCAACTAAGTCGACTGATCTGTGTGCAGGGACACTGAACCCCTTGAGTATCTGTGTGATTCTTGACATCGATGTTTAGGCTCGCACTGATACTCCTTGAGAACCTCTTGTGGACATTCATTGAGATATGGTTGTAGAAAGGCTGGATCACATCAAACATGTTACGTCATTTTGCAAACTCTCGACAAGCACTTAATGGTTTTCATCAACATGATCTAACTGAATGTCTCTATCATTTAATATTTTATGGTGGATAGTGAGGGAGTTATTATTGTTCTCATCCATCGACGTAACATAATTCATATTATCAAGCTTCTTCAACTCATTTTCAGCCTTACTATGTCTATCATCGAAGAATTTACGAAAAGTATTTTTCAGAATCTGAGGATTTATGAATGTAGATTCTAGCTGAATATCATCCAGCATTTGCTTGAATTTATCAATAATCCTCAGTGATGACGCTTCCATTCTTTCATTATAGCGTTGCATAAAAGCTTAGAATTCTTCATTAGAAAGAGTTACCATATTTTAAGCCGTCGCCACTTTTATATATCTTGACTAGCGACTTCTTGTGAAGATTTTGTCAATCTTTCTTCACACCATAACAGATAGCAGTTGAAGTATGAATGATAATAAAGTGGATTATGTAATATATAGAATGGTTCATAGAATGTTCATAACTCAGAAACGAGCTTACAATTGATGCAAATGGTAGTTCATTGTTATTATTTCAAATTTTCCTACATCAACCAAGTTCAGAAATAGATTTCTGTACGAAATAATATAATACATAAAGCTTAATATTGTCTAGAGGTTGAAATACAAAAGTGTCATAAACGTCGCTATCTAAACAGCTCAGATTACAGACAGCAAAGTAATAAACACTACTGAATTCCTTTCACTTATCAGTTTGTGTTTTTCATCACTTAACAGATCAACTACGAGATAAACACAAATTCAGCTGTTACACATTAACTAACTGTAACAAGATATTTTTCGCTTTAGTCAGTCACTATTTAGCAGATAAACACCATTACTTAAAGAGAAAGACAGAAAAGAAAAACAAACTATTCGAGTTTGATACTTTAAGTATTAGAATTTGCAAAAATCCAACCATATTCTACAGACGAACCGAAGTTTTAAAGTAATAACATTCTATGAAACAAGATAGTTTGCAACTTTCTACTTCTGATAAGACGGTATTTTCATCAGCTATTATAAAAAGATAATAGGTATGTGTCCTGTTTACTGGTTAAGTCTGTTGTAAATATTAACCAGGAAAGATATAAAACTCACAATATCTATAAAATTAACAGTGAAAGCCTATTCATCTGGAAAATGAATCGAAGAAGAAGAGAAAAAGTAGAAAGGAGTAAACTAATCATTAACTTCAGAGAAATTCACACCAATTAAGTAGTTAAGGCAGATAACAGCGTTCAAACTCAGCTCAAAACTGAAACTGAAAAAAGACTGGTTAACAAGTAATATAGTTTCTTATGTACAGAAACCCTTTTGATACCACAGTTGGGTAGCTGAAAAGTACTCTGAAGAGATAAACATCAACGCGGACTGAGCAAACTGGTATATCATTTTCAAATTGATCATCCTATGTTAAATTGTAATGGTTCATGCAAGTCAACTAACCAGATTCAAATGATTTGAAAAATTCAGCTGCGTCAGCTGAATATGTTCAAGTACACCACTGATGAGCTGTAAACCAGCGAAATGGCCGTCCTGTGTTTAGACTACTCTGATCTGGATAGCTAAAATTAAAGATCAAACTCAATGGTTTCTAGTTAACCAAGTTGTTCAGTAGTATAATTCGTGATTTTGTACGGAGTTGTGTAGTTCAGCTGCAGTGTTTTTAAGACACAGATTCGATTGGTTGACGAGTTTACTGTGAAACTTGAAGGTCCTGAGTTCGACTCCTGGTATCGTCGTAGGTGTGTACGGCTAAGTAGTCCCACGCCAGGACAAAACATCCATTCAATGTTCCTAGGTTTTCATTAGTTCTCCAAATGCCGTTAGTTTGTGAGGAATACTACCTGAAACATACCCAGAAAAACATAGGAACTTCTTCGACAGTAGATATCCCCGCTGATTAGTGTGTAAGAACACGAACTGTAAAGTTAGGATTTCTAGCCAATTACCTGCACCAACCTTACAATGAACACAAAACTAAGAGGAGAGATCATACTACTTGATAAAATCCAAACATTACAGCTTCAACAAAACTTTTCTATATGCTTTTTAGTTGAGATAGCTCAAGCATTTGACTTCCAAACAAACAGTTCAGGGCTGGAATTTCGCCCAGCATGCTTCAACGTGGGCAACTTGGTAGTATCCTAACTCTTGATGCGTTGAGTGTGATTGATAGCTGACTATACAAACCTACTCTACTATGAGTTACCTCAAGATTTACATTCAAAATTTCAATACTCGTGAGCCATTATAAAAATAAAAGCAGGTCAAATACGAAACATTCAGTTTAAACATTTAGTCTTCAAGAAAAGGAGTTATTTTTGATTGGTCTCAGTTTGGTGTAACTTTATCTCATAAACCACTTTGGAAAGACTGAAATTTGACAACATTAAAAATCAGAAATTAATAAATAGTGACATTTTATTACGTCAAACAAATCTCTTAAATAATCAAGCTACGAATTTAACCTTATACTGCCACAGTGAATTAATCATTCCACCTTTTTGCAAGAAACTTGCAGATTGATCATGTCTATCAAATGATGTTACCTGACTCCCAAACCCTTGTATATATATATATATATATATATATATATATATATATATATATATATCAACAAGTAATATATGAATCAGATCCTTATCTAACTAGAGAGATTTGACGCTGCTGCTTTGGAATCCATAGAAAAATTACCGACAGTTATAAATCAACTATTTTTGGATGACTACGACTTCACAACTGAAACCTTTTTCGGAAATAAAAAAAACAACTATTTCAGTAAACACTTTACACTACTTGTAAGTAGTCTAAGTAACATTTGCAAATTTTCAAAGTAGTTTCATTACAAATTTTTTTGCCTAATCGGGTTTGAGGACGCACAATGCGAAATAATAAGATACTCTTTGTGTTACATTTTTCCTTTAAGGTTGGAAATAAATAGCCCGAGAATAGTTCAGCCTAGTAAAAATGAATTGTAAAACCTGTCTGAATTTTTAAATGCTTGAGAAAATTGGAATAATGAAAATGTCAATGCAATCAATGCAAACAAGCGCTATTCAATGATGTAAAATCAATATTTGCGGCTAAAACTTATCATAGAAAAAACAACAAGTGGATCACTGGGGAAAATGGTTTTTTCGCATTCCTACAAATATACTGTTTTGGTCAACGTCAATAGGCACTAAATGTGGGTCCGGGACTTCCTGTTGTCTAAATTCTGACATCGAATTATGAAAGAATTTTACTCTTATTCTAAATTTCTGGTTGGGATAAAAGTAGCTACTTAAATTTGTTGTGAAAATTTTCACTGCATATGAATGATTCATAAAAGTGGCCAGTTAAGGCAGAACCCAGGATGAGGCTAATCAGGTAATATAACCATTAATACTGAGAATATTATCATTAACATGTGGCGAATTACGATCCTAGGAGGATATCAATCCTCATAAGTTTTTTCTTACTGTCGCATATCATAGATAATGGGATAAAAAGGCAAACCCAATAGTAAATTTCATTGAATTCACAACTTTATCATGACATTAAGAGAGAATCTAACCTCATTTTTCTGATGATGTATGTGGGTAGCCCGCAAGTATGAAGCTGGTGTCGAACAAAGACATTGTTAGCACTATCCTAAATATATAAACTGAACTAGTACCCATCAACTAAATGGTGAATACTAGAGAGCCGAGTTTCAATAAGCTAAGGCATTAAACTCTGAGAACCGCACATCAAATGAACGTAGAGGGATATGATATTCTTTCATTCGAAAATGTTCAACTGATATTACGCTGTTAACTGAAGCGTTAAAACATTTCAGTTTAACAAAAGTCATCTGCAACGCATCAGTAGGATATTAACGATATTAAGTTGGACAAGATAAATCATTTGACCTGGGGTTTTACAATAAAAAATTTTCTATCTTTCAAACAGCGAAACAAGTCAACTAACGCGTGAAAATCAACAAATTATGGTTCAGCGAAGAGAAATCGGATCAGTACTTAACAGCTATACATTCTTATGGTTACAATAAACAAGTTAGTATTTTGTTTACTAATATTATTATCATTAATTATTTTTCTTGATAGGTCAATATGTGGAAGCACAGCAAGTCGGCTTGAGAACTCGACTTTAAAGCAAAGGATTCACAGCTCAAATCCTAACCTACCAACGTCTGTCTAGCCAACAGGTTAGTATCATAAGCCTTTGCACAAGAAGTGTAGAGGATCAGTTATTTATTAAGTTCATATTAGGTTATCAGAAGGTTTTTCCCAGATGAAATAATACTTTTTCTCGAGAATGTAAAAGAGACAAATTATTAATGGATGTAGGAGAAAGCAAGCATTTAATCACGAAGACACTCCTCTAGAGTTCCATTCTCGAACACCTCGTCATCTCCGACTATCTGGTCCCCCATGATAGTTCCTTTAAATTAATTTACAGAGTATCTTCCAACAATTTTAAAGACCCTCGACTGCGTTATCTCTGCATAGCCTTGTCATTAGAACCTCCTAAACTGGAACTAGATATTTATGTTTAGAAATATTACCTGCATTGATAAGCCCTACCATGATTACAATAATAAATTTCAGGCTTTCGACCATCCGGCTCTAAAAAGACAAAAGTTCAAAATAGTCATACTCAAAAAACAGTGTAACAGGCCTCAAGCAGATGTCCGATGGGTTCTGTGGTCACACAAATCTCTTTCAGGTACCTTAAGAAGAAATAGCCTTCCATGGTGTGGGCAGCCTGAAAGTGTCAACCACTCTCACAACTCGAGCAGCACTCAAGTTTCCAAAGACTGCTATCCACCTCCCCCATCATTACCTTCTAATCTTCACTCACGTCTCCCAATTAACAATACTACATCATCTTTAACTTCTTCTAGTTCTGCAGCCTTTGACAACGATTTGGGTTCAAAGAACAGCATCGTCGGTCTCTTTAAACCACGCTCCAAATTACATATTGGAGACTTCAATGTCCGCACTCTCCGTTAAGTTGGTCAAAAGACTTCATTGGCGAAGACTCCAGCAACTCGGCCCATGGATGTGTGCTGTGTTTGTGAGACACGCATACAGGACCCCAGTGCGATTATTCACCTAACATCTCCCGGCCAATCTGGTGAATCCACGAAATTCATCCTTCGAGTTTCTGGAGATTCGATAGCTAGCTCTCGTGGTCTTGCAGGTGTAGGCATTGCATTAAGCACTAGGGCAGAAAACTCACTACTGGACTAGATCCCAGTTGATAGTCACCTCTGCGCTATGCGGCTGGACGGCACAGTGAGAACTAAAAGGAATAGGGAGACTCGCCGTTGTCTCTTTGTAATCTCTGTTTACGCACCCACTGACTGCAGCTGGGATGAAGTGAAGGACGAGTTCTACCGTAAACTGTCTAGCCTCCTCTCGAAAGCCAAACATTCGGACGTGGTGGTTGTTGCAGGTAATTTCAACGCACAGGTGGGTAGACTGAGTGAGGCAGAAAGGCACTTAGGTGGTACTTTCAGAGTCCCGGCTGAACGAACAGATAACGGTGATCGCCCACTACAACTGTGCTCAGATAACCACCTATTTTTAGCCAGCACAAATTTCAGATATAAGAAAAGACACTGTCTGACCTGGCGTCCACCGAGCTCAACCCAGCGATGGACACAGATAGACTACATTGCTATTAGTCACCGCTGGAGAGGATCGATGGAAGACTGCCGCTCCTTCTGGAGTATATTCTTGGATAACAACCACGCGTTGGTCCGAGCGCGTATATACCTGCGTCTCAATGGACGTAGGGAAAATTTGGCAACAAAACCACCACGAGTACTGCTGGACAACGAAAACACCAAATCTGTAGTCAGTGAGAAGTTGGCTGGGCAGTCATCGGAACAAAGTACTATCATTCATCCAGAAGAAGCTTGGTGCCATCTCCAGTCTGATGTAAAAGCAGCACTGGAGACTGTAGCCGACTCCGAAAGAATGGCTAAAAAGAGCCAGTGGATATCAGCAGCTTCTTCCAAACTAATGGATGCACGTGAATGCATCCCTGCACGCTCTGAGTACAATGAGGAGCGGGCACAGCTTAAAAGTAAACTGACGAAAAGTCTGCGCAACGATCACGAACAGTGGTGGGCAGCAAAGGCTAAAGAGATGGAAAAGGCAGCGGCGATCGGTAACAGTAGACAGTTATTTAGACTTATTAAGGAAACTGGGGGGAAAGGTCAACAACAGTTAGTGAGACCATAGCGGAGAAGGACGAATCTGCTATGCACTCTCAGGGGAGATGACTGGAACGATGGGCAGAACACTTCGAGGAACAGTTTAACTGGCCTCCAGCCACCATTGCGTTGCCCGCTATCCAGTCGAATCCTGAATGGAACATTGAGATAGGCCCCCAACACTAGAAGAAGTTGAGAAAGCGGTAGGTGACTTGAAACGAGGAAGGATGGCAGGACCAAACGGACTACCTGCTGAGGTATACAAGGATGGTGGTGGAGTGCTCTTAGTCAGGTTAACGGAAGTGTTGACCAGTATATGGAAATCAAATACGATCCCCTCTGACTGGTCCAAGTCACTGATCATCCCAGTATTTAAGAAAAGTGAGAAGTCCTCTTGTGATAACCACAGAGGAATCAGTCTGACGAATATAGTGTCTAAGATTCTAGGTCCCATAATCATTAGACATAAGAGTGGAGCTCGGGAATAGCAAGTTCAACAAAACCAGGGAGGCTTTAAACCCGGCCGCGGGTGTATCGACCGAATGTTCACACTGTACCGGGTTCTGGAACATAGGCACGCTAACCAACGCCCGACAATAGTTGTATTTCTCGACCCGAAGGCGGCATTTGACTCCGTTGATCGAGAAGTCTTATGGTAATGTCTCACTGAAAGGCGTTCCGAGTAAGTACATCATCTTATTCAAGGCTCCCTACTCGAACACTTGTGGGCGTGTTAGAATCTATGGTGAGATATCCGGGGAGCTGTACTCATCGAGTGGTGTCCATCAAGGGTGCCCACTCTCTCCATCCTAATTCAATTTCATGGCAGATATTCTTATGGAGGTTTCCCTCTCGTCAACTAATTACAAAGACGTTGACCTAATCACAGGAGAATTTTCGTTAGACCTAGAATATGCAGATGACATAGTCCTGTTAGGTGAAGACGCTGACAAGATGCAGTCTTCTGAACACTTTGAGTGTGAATGTGAGAATGTTTTGGATGCGTTTCTCACCACCCAAATGCGAATTGCTGCTACAGGATTGGTTTTCAACGGTGCCTCGGTTAACAATAGGGGGTGTAGTGGTTGAGTGTGTCGACCACTTCACTTACCTGGGAAGTAGGATCAGCCCTGAACTGGTGGCTCAGTGGCCGATGAAAACTCAGTACGGATACAAAAAGCTCGATTGGCTTTTGCCAATTTACTCCACGTGTAACAACGCCGTGATATCCGATTGTCTATTAAGGGTCGCGTGTACTGCACAGCAGTCCGGTCTGTTCTACTGTATGGCTGTGAAACATGGCCATTGAAAGTGGAAGATATGAGAAGGCTTCAAGTGTTTGACCACCGTTGCCTTCGTAGTATAGGCCGTATTCCGTGGTGCCACCAGGTGAGCAATGCAGAAGTCGGGTGTATAGTTCTGAGGTAAGCCGATTGACGAGGTTGGGAACCCTGATCGACTGAGATGGTTGAGACACGTACTACGTATGCCTAGTCACCGATTGCCTCGTCACACAATGTTGGCTGAAGTAGGTCCAGAGTGGAGAAAGGCCCGAGGTGGCCAGACTAAAACATTCCACCAATGTATGAAGTCTGTGTCTGTTGGTTTGAACCATGTAGGGCGATGCAGACTAGGTGGTTGGAGTCCGCGGGACAAGTGGAACCAGTGGTTGGAGACTGTAGGTGATATGGCTGAGAACCTATGTCAGTGGTGCAGATGTATGCACACATTATCTTCATCTTAACGACGCTACACCGAATCTCACTACTTTCTCATTCTTCGTTTCTCTCTTTTCGTACTTTATATTTCTTTTGACTGAATTTTCTTATCTTCATCTTGCGCCTTATTGCCTTTTTACTTGATGTACTAACATGAGATGTGGCAACTCGGATCGCTACGCAGTAAATGCCTGGTCCTAGGTTGATCTGGATGGATGGACTGAGATTCGCAGAAGCGATAGCCTCACAAATATTGAAACCACATTTATGTGCACAAAAACAGTTTGTTCTTACACACCACACCTATCATGGTAAACTTTGTTTTCTTGCCAAGATTATTATTATTATTTGTCCCTTGGGTTCCTAGTGGAACATATGGCTTCAGCAGATTAGGATCACCTATATCACTCTTCCTGTTTGTTCTCATCTTTCTTACTTTTGACCCCCTAATATCTTAATTGTTATGTTTGTCTCCCCACTCTTCAGTTTAATATAAATTGACTTGACAAGTAAATGTGTGATCAGATTGTTTGGAATGTATTGCTCGAATACATCACATCACATCAGATTTATATAAATTATGATCAAGATTTGATCTTATTGTATGGCAAATATTTGACGCTGAGTAAAAGGTTGACACCAGATTTGGATTTTATTTATGTAAGTTACAGCGAGTTCGAAATCAATTAATTCCAACATTTCGCACGAAAGTCTGGTCCGAGCATCTTTCTAAATTATGATAACTGATCATTGTGTGTCTCTTGTTGCATGGTATGTGGGTGTGTGTATGTATGCATGTTATATATATATATATATATATATATATATATATATATATATATATATATATATATATATATATATATATACCTCCAATTCCTATTCGTCTTGATTGTAAATATCAAACAAATGGGTCACACATGACATTATAAGTCATTTGGTAATTTTATAAGCACGATGGAATGGATGAGGTGGATACGTAAGCAATTTCTGTTGGAATATGGTGGTGAATAGTATTAACGAATTTTCCGTCGATTTACCGGAGAAAGAATAATGATAATGGTGAAAATGATGATAGTATTGGTGAATCAAATGAATCCAGATTGTATTGTTGTTAATACACAAATAATGAAGTTGAGATTAGTGTTGACGGTAATTGCTTTACAATCAAAACGGATAGGAATTGGAGTACATATATACATACACACGTACCATACAACAAGAGACATACAATTTCACACTAAATGATCAGTTATCATAATTTAGAAAGACAATGACTATACGAAGAGGATTGGACAAGGAGATTTAATACACTTTTTTGGATTCATTTATATATCATCGATGTTTGAATTTTGATTACTTCCCTGAAGAAGCTCGAACCAAACTTCCGTGTGAAACATTAGAATTATTTAATTTTCTAACTTGCTGTGACCTACACAAATACAACCTGCACCTAATGTCAAATCAGATTGTTCAGATAAATTTCGCCTTCTGTTTACGCTATAAAAATTCAAACTAAATATTCCCATTTCATATGTTAAAAGCCAAATATGAACTAAGAATATTCTTACAGTTATAACATCAATTTCGTTAACATATTACTAGCTACGGTGTGAAGCGAATCTATTTTAGAGTGGATATGGAATTCTAATTACAATTAGACTATTTAATTTTGTGAATGATAGTACGTATGTCAGATGCAGTGAAAAGTTGAGTACGAAAACGTTGCCAATGGATTGGTGATTAGAGATAGTGACTGTATACAATATGGGAAATGAAAATTAATAATAAAGTTCAAGGTCACATCGTGTCGACTTAGTGACTACTGCAAAAAATGATATGAATTTATCAGAAGTGCAGAAATGGAGTGGACGATTGAAATGTGAAAATGTTTAATAGGAATTGCAAAGGTTTATTATAATAAGAAAGGAAAACCGGGTTAATAGTAATAGTAGCAATTTTACTTTTAAAAAGAACGAAAGGAGAGAAAAAACTAAAGAAGAACCAAAAGGATTGAGAGAATACTATTTAGTCGGTGGAAGGACAAGAGAAGAAGGAGTACGGCTTCGACGTATTCGTTTTGAATGCAAAGTTCAAGCTTAATTTACCTTATAGCTACAGTTTTCGCTATGTAGAGAATTCGTAAACGAATGGCAAACGGTAGAGTCTTTGAAAAGCGGTGTATCACAGTAAAAGCTATGCTAGCATCTATTTGGTGTCTTGTGCCCATTAGATGTGCTAGTATAGAACTTCTAATGGATCTGATCTTATCCTTTGAAAACCATGCTGGTAGATATTTTCGTATCCTGAGACGGACGTGTCTAATAGTGAGCCCTATATAACTTGTTCCACAGGAACAGTTGGAACGGTATATGAATGATGATGAACTCAAATTAAGTCTAGGAATCAACAACGGTTGGCTATTAAGCACAGACGTCCTGAGTGAAAGGTCCCAGCTATTGCAGATATAAGGACAAACGTTTCTTCCATACTCTTGTAGGTATTATAAACGATATTTGGGTTTACATACTTTTTAGGATATCCCTTTTCCCTTGAAATATCCTGAAGGGCTTGTAATTCTTTCTTGACATGATCTTCAGAGCAGACTGATCTTTCTCGAAATCCTAAACATCTAATAACATTTCGTTTTTACTTCGTTGACATAGTGCTGAGAAAGTGAGCATACTGCGCTTTGGTCATCTACGTGCACTTCCTTTCAAACAACCATCTTTTCTTGTTAGTATGACACCAAGAACTGCTGGATGAATGCTATTGAAGTGAATGACAATTAAATCAACAGATGTGTGTTTACTACAGACTAAAAATGCATCATTCATATACTGACAATACAAATCCATTCTTCAGTTGTCCGCTTTCTAAATTAAAAGTATATCAGCAAATAGATGGCCTAGTTGGGATCCCATTGTTACACCGTCGATGTGATTATGATCAGCTGCAACTTAAGTTGACGTATACCAACCCAACCAAACTTTCGTGGTTACTTAACTGTAATTTTTATGCATATCGATATCTAAGTTGTCATATAAGTGCTGAAATAACGTAAAAACAACTCCACTGATTTGGGATCTGACCACCAGTCAACGGTTGGTGGGTTCAAACACATTCTAATTACTTCAGCCTACGGAACTAGGCAAGATCATAAGCTTACAAACAAAAGTTCTGTAGCATAAGGCTGGTATACCTGTGCAACGTTGCTTAGAAGCATCATTACCATCTCCATGAACACAAGAAATGTTTATTCGATCAGTAACAAGAAGCTACCCATTTCAATGTCCAAGGAATACTAAGATTAAACAAAAAGTTAAATGATCATTTGTTGACAATTATTATGTGACAAAAATTAAATCCAAAGAGGAAAATTAGGGTAGTTGCAACTGTAAAAATAACAGTAATAATAATAATAATAATAATGGTACCAGTGTGTAAGATGGAGAAGGGAAGGAGGTCATCGTTGCATAGATCAGCTATGCGGACGACCAAGGCAATGAAAGAATTTATACAAACATTTCATTCCAACAAACAGACTCACCTTGTCCAGGTTAATCCCTATGGCTTCTGTTATGTTCAGATGAACTCGGAAAGTATCAGTAAGATTATGTGGAATATGTTAGGTAACTTTAAATTCATGGGAAGCATAAACTTAATATCTAATAGTTAACAAGGTATGACACCAGACAGCTCCGTATCGATCTTGTGTCTTTGGTTTAACCATGACGAATGATACTCAGAAATTCAATCTATCTCCTTGTTAATTATCACTGTGAAAATATTTCAGTTTACAGCCGCAGCATTCAAACTAATAGTTAAACTTTTTAGATTCACTGGAATCTTTCTTCTTTATGAAATGTGGTTACACCAGTTACGGACATTAAAGTCACTGCCTCTTTGAATAGGCAACAAATATTTCTTGCAGAGTAATAACAATTTATCTTGTATCACTGTATAGATAGTATATAACAGGAGTCATAAGTGCATATTTGAAAACTGAAGAAATCGATTTGATGAGTCAATTATTAATATGGTAGTAATTGTTAAATTCATTCCATCCTCCAATCCCATACATCAGAGATCAAGTGAGTGAGTCAGCAGACTGAAAACATCAGTCTATCTAGAAACTACTATTTAAAGAAAACAAACATTACCTTCATAGACAAGTTGATAAACGAATATGAAGTGTCACCGAAAACTTACAGATATATTTAATTCAAACAATGAAGTTGATAGTTTAAAGAAGAATAAACACCTTAGAAAACCTGTTATCTGTGGTACCTGTGGGCGCAAAGACACAACACCTCAGCATCCAATACTATGTGGTCCTGTGATTAGTTGTGAATATTCTTATGGATGTCATAATAAAAAAGATGGTGTGAAATGGCTAGATCAAGCAGGTATTGAACGTTTGATCATTCAATACAGTCTAGCACAAAGTTTAGCTGAAGAGAAAGCAACAAAGCAAACAGATAACTACAGTCTAAAATAATCGTTCAAAAATTCTATACAAGATTGTGAAAATTTCAGTTGGTGAACTTCTTTTCCCAATGGACTTACAGTTATCTAGAACATAATAAGCTTCAGTCATCTTTTATATGCATGTTAGTAATGTTTCGTTTCATTGAACTTCCTGAAACTGACATTCATCAAATATTATTTGCTGCAAAATATTTTCAATAGTCTTTATCCATGCCAATCACCCCGTGGGTTCTGAGTTCAAATTCCACCCTATTAACTTGAGCAATTGGTTAGTGTCATAAGCCTTCATAAAGAAATTTTGACGGATAGCCTGAGACACAAACATGTACTGAGTTTTTGGCTGTACGCAAACGTGTTCATTGTACTATTAAGAAGATGAAAATGTTAGCAAACAAGCATTTCCATTGATTTCACCAGATTCGATCCCTAAGGACAATATTTATATATCAAAATAAATGTGCACGTTGAATGTGTCGACCAATTCACTTACTTGAGGAGTTGCATCAGCCCATTCGCACTAGCCGCTGACAAAATCTCAGCTCGGATACAGAAGACCCTTTTAGCATTTACCAGGCTGCGTCATCTGTGATGTCGACGGGCGAGATATTCGACTATCTATCGATGGGCGAGTATACTGCACTGCAGTCCATTCTGTCTTGTTATACGGGTGTGACACGGCCATTGAGAGTAGAAGACTTGAAGCGATTACAGGGTTTTTTATAATAGGTACCTTCGCAGCATTGCTCGCGTTTGGTGGAATCATCGTGTGAGCAATCTTTAGGTCAGATGAAAGGTTCTAGGCAGGATAGGCAATTGGATTAATGAAGTTATGAACCTTGTTCGACTAAGATGGTTTGGATGTGCACTGCATATACTGAGCCACCGCCCAGCTCAACATGCAGTGCTAGCAGAAATCGGATTACGTTGGAACAGAGTTCAGGCTGGCCAGATGAAGCCATGAAAATAGTTGATGAATTCTCTGACTCCTGGTGTGAAGCATTTGGGGAGTTATAGACTGCCTGGCTGGAGTCCACGAAACGATAAAACTTCTGGTGAGATGGCTGGAAATCGATCACCATGGCGCAGATATATTCACTCCTTGACGTTGTCTAAAGCTTGAATATTTGTGCTAACTTTTGTCTTCAAATTGTTAATTCTCTCACACGTTCAGCCACCATGTACACTTTCGTGCAGCAAGCAATGAGCCACACCTATTGTGTGAAGGCTAGTAATACCACCTGACTACCTAAACCTCACCAGGTGGAGAGGGGCTCGAACCCGTGACCCAATGGTTGGTAGTCGTCTCTTTAAACCACTGAAACATAATTCAACTGTCTCATGCAACTTTGTCTACTTTCAGATCAGTCTTTTTCTATCCACTTGTTCTAGGTATACTACTGTGAAGTATGACAACTTGAATTGATGCCCTAGTGTACGACGTTCTACGTTGATTGTCTGCCTGACACAGTGAAGTATTCCATCTATTTGAAGAGTGGCAGTCTAATACAAAGGATCACACTAGTGATAAGCTACTTTGTAAGAGACTGAATAATAATTTATGGGCATTAGAAATGTATTGACAACCTGAAGACTGCATAACTTTCAAAACAATACGAAGTATACTTCTTGGGATCCTATAAAATATTATAAAAATGAGATGACATCTTTACGAATTTTGAGAGTGCGTCACTCAAGATTAACAGCTTTCAATCAGGATGTATTTCATTATGACACACTTCCAAGACATTAAGTGAAGGCGAGTGTGCGAACAAAAACACTACAGTCAACCGTTTACTACTCAGCAGTGTTTCCAGCCTTAACCTCCTAGGTGTCGTTACACAAGTAGCAACTATGTAAAAATCTGCGTAATGTTTTTGTGAATAAGCAGTACCAGCAGGTGGAATTTGTGGGCAGGTCAATTCTTTTAACGAAGCACAAGAACCTAACTAAATCAACTTTGGTTCAAAGTAATAAAACAGAAAACTTCTTGAGAAAAGATCAGTTCAAAGCCATTCACATACTACAAAAAAGAAACGGTATTGTGACAAGGCTTATGGAGAAAGAAACGGACAACCAGATTTTCGCTTGTTGATTAAACGCTTTACAATTTCAATGGGAATAAATCAGTACCTGTTCCAGATATCTTGAAAAATTATTCTGTCCCTAAGGTAGAGAAAGAAAAGAGACCAAAACTAAAGAAACCAGACAAAAGCGGTTCGATTATCTTGATGTGGTTACGAGTAATAAACTTTCGGAAAGTCACTCAGTAAATAATACTGGTTCATCGTGTCCAACACAATTATAAGCACCGCAATGCCTGATTTTCACACTCATCATAGCTACAAATTGATGGTGTAGGAATTTAGGCGGTGATTCCAAATCAGTGTCATTAGTTCAGGTGAATAAATATTCTGTCCGCCTGTGAACCTCAAACGGCTTGCTGTCAGGTACTAATTAAACCCCTTCGTTATTTCTCTTATCTAGCCACCTCTCGAAGACGTAACCAATTTCGGCGTTACTATTTTGATTTCACTTCAGCGTACTGATACAAAAGCAGGCCAACATGGGATTTCTACAAGTTTTATTTTGTCAATATGTTCCTGAGAAATTACTGTACCCTAAGGGGCTCAATAACCTCGCCTGGTTAACTAGTTTACTAGTTACTAGCCGGTCCTAAGCCCGGGTAAAGAGGGAAGGTTGGGCATAGGGCTAGCAACCCTACCCCGTAAAACAAATCTAACCGCTAAAGAAACTTCAAAGCACAAACAAAATATAAAAAATGAAAACAAACTTATTCCCCGCTGGAATCGGAGAGGCGAAATGACGCCAGTTGGTGAAAGCCTTCGGGAAGCCAATTGGCCGATGTGTCTTCTCTCGATGAAAGCGAAAGTAAACGTGGGGACATGGAATGTCCGCACGATGTTTGAACCCAGTAAGGCAGCCCAGATTGCAAGGGAGATGAGAAGGTATAACATCGAAGTGCTTGGGATTTGCGAAAGCAGATGGAATGGGAGTGGACTCTCCAAACTGTCAACTGGAGAATCAATAATCTACTCCGGTCACCCAGACGCCAACCACGAGCACACTGAGGGAGTGGCTATCATGATGTCCTCAAGAGCATCGAAGGCTCTCATGCAGTGGGAACCAATCTCCTCCAGGATCATGACAGCAAGATTCAACTCAAAAGGAAGAAAGGTCACAATCATACAATGTTATGCACCTACAAATAATGCAGAGCAAGAGAAAAAGGAGGATTTCTACAGACAACTTCAATCAACACTGGACAAGACGTCAGTTGGCGATATCAAAATTCTGATGGGCGACATGAATGCCAAACTGGGAGGGGACAACACGGGAAGAGAACTAACCATGGGTCGAGAGGCACTAGGTGAAATGAATGAGAATGGAGAATTGTTTGCAGAATTCTGCGCATTCAACGATTTGGTGATTGGAGGCAGTGTGTTCAGGCACAAAGATATCCACAAAGCGACATGGATTTCACCAGATGGACACACTAAAAATCAAATCGACTTTATCTCAATCTCAAGAAAATGGAGACGCAGTCTACTTAACACAAGGTCAAGAAGAGGAGCAGATGTAGGTTCAGACCACTACCTAGTGCAAGGAACCTTCCAAATCAAGTTAAAAGCCTTCAAGGAAGCTGGTGATAGACCTCAATTCAAGTACAACACTCGGAAACTGAAGGATGAAACTACAAAGGAGATCTTCAAGGCAGCCATCAAGACAAAATGGGAGACATCGAGCAACATCCCTGAAGAAACCTGTGTGGAAGAACACTGGAAGTCTTTGAAAGCTATGTGGAAAGAAACCTGCACAACAGTATTAGGAAGGAAGAAGGAAGACAAGGAATGGATCTCGACGGATACCTGGAAGCTGATAGAGGAGAGGAGGATGGTGAAGCAGAAGATAAACCAGTGCAAGGATGCTCAACGACAAGAGGAACTGAGCACAATGTATAAAACACTGGACAAAGAAGTGAAGAAGAGTGCACGCAAAGACAAAAGACACTTCTACGAAACACTGGCAAGTGAAGCAGAACAGGCTGCAGGTAAGAGAGACCTGACGACATTGTATCAAATAACCAGGTTGCTATCAGGGAAGAGACCAACACAGATGAAACCAATAAAAGATGAAGAAGGAAATTTAATTACAAAAGAAGAGAAACAGAGGAAACGATGGGCCGACCACTTCAAGAAGCTCTTGAATCGACCACCACCTGCACTTCGTCCAGAAATACCACCTGCAGCCGCTGAATTACAAGTGAACATAAATCCCCCAACGAAAATGGAAGTCCTGAACGCCATAAAGCTACTGAAATGCGGGAAAGCAGCAGGACCAGATGGAATACCGCCAGAAGCACTGAAAACAGATGCAGAGACAACAGCGGCCATGCTCACACCACTATTGCAGAAGGTGTGGAAGGAAGAGAAGGTACCTGACGATTGGAAGAAGGGTTACCTTGTCAAACTGCCGAAGAAGGGAGACCTCAGTGCTTGCAAGAACTGGCGCGGAATCACTCTCCTGTCCACCCCAAGTAAAATATTAAGCCGCATCATCCTGGAGAGGCTTAAGATGCACTGGATTCAAAACTACGACCGGAACAGGCAGGCTTCAGGAAGTACAAATCATGTGCAGACCAAATTGCAACGCTTCGTATCATCATAGAACAGAGCATAGAATGGCAATCACTCTCTACCTCAACTTCATCGACTTTGAGAAGGCCTTTGACAGCGTCGACCGAGAAGTAATTTGGAAACTGCTTCAATACTACGGAGTACCGCAAACCTTTATCCGCCTCATTCAACAACTATATGAAGATGCCACATGCCAAGTAATCCACAATGGGAAGCTCAGTGATGCCTTTGAAGTGAAGACAGGAGTGAAACAAGGTTGCCTACTATCCCCCATGATATTCCTTATTGTGGTGGACTGGATCATGCAGCAAACAGTAGGCAGCGAGAAGAGGGGGATACACTGGACGACGGAAAAGAACCTAGAAGACTTGGATTTCGCCGATGACTTATGCCTAATGTCACATAAACTTGAAGATCTGCAGGCAAAAACTAACAAGTTGATAGAAGAGGCAGCGAAGACGGGACTTCAGGTGAATATAGAGAAGACAGAAGTGATGAAGATACCGCACCACCACCATCAACAACAACAACAACAAACTCCAATCACCGTCAACGGGAGAAACTTAAAGGAAGTAACCTCCTTCACTTATCTAGGAAGCACTGTTTCAACTACAGGCGGGACGGACGAGGACGTCAAAGTCAGAATCGGAAAAGCAAGACAGGCGTTCATTAGCCTGAAACCAGTGTGGAGATCTTCTGCACTCAGCATGCGGAACAAGATACGGATTTTCAACACCAACGTCAAGTCAGTGCTCTTGTATGGCTCAGAGACTTGGCGCGTCACGAAAGGTATTTCCAATAAACTACAGACATTCATCAACAACTGCTTACGCTCGCTGCTGAAGATCAGATGGCCAGAAAAAATAAGCAACAAGGAACTCTGGGAACGAACCAACCAAGAACCTATCACGCAACAAATATGCAGGAAGAAGTGGAGATGGATTGGCCATGCACTGAGAAGGCCGACTGAGGACATCACGCGTCAGGCCCTCGAGTGGAATCCCCATGGGAAGCGACGAGTTGGACGTCCGAGGGTGACATGGAGGAGGTCGTGCGAGCAGGAAATGAGAGCTTCTGGGCTGTCGTGGGACCAGGTTCAAAAGATCTCAGAGAACAGAGGTCACTGGAGGCGTGCTACTGAAGCCCTATGTTCCACTAGGAACCCAAGGGACTAATAATAATAAATAATAAAAGGGGCTCAATATACTGTTGCCAATTTCCCACAACAGAGCCATGTCTCCTATCAAGCGAGGTCTCCTGCAAAAAGTCTCTGTTAAGTTGTGTGTGACGAGACAGACCTCCATAAGTACCTTTGTGGCAAAATTAAACAAAAATGTAAGGAAAGGATACCTCAGTAGAACTGTTCGGCTTAGATGTCTCACAAGACAATACATCTTACACCGTGATGCGAATAGGGCTATTTAGTGAATATTTCCAGCAAAAATAATCACAAATGAGTCACTGTCCGCGGGTTAACATATCGTGAGATGATGGACAATGTTTGTGGCTGGAGGTAGTCTTGGTTTTTTGTTCCTTGAGATGGATGGTTTAGTCGTGAAGCTTTCTCTCTCACCCTAGTCAAAACCATCGGCACAAGCTTCACAAAAAAGTTAGCCATGATGACCCTGGGTGGGATTGATCGTTTCTACTAAAATCTTGTCATACTTATTTCCATTAATTGTCCTGCTAACATGAACTCTGACCTTCTAGCTGTTTCTTATTGGTTGATAGATTAGATCAGTGTCAGTATGTCCGAAATTGTCTACATCCATTGATATGAGAAAAAACCTATCATGATGATTCACTGATAGTTGTTGTCCATGTAAAGGGATACGAAGGGGGCGACTACTCTGCCCGATATATTGTTCTTTGTGAAGTTTATTTTGTAGATAAAATTTAACTTGTCTTCCTTTGCCACAGTATCCTTGAATGACTTTAAAGTTCACCCCAGCAACTAGTAAAATAACGAATCAGGTTTTCATATTTCGGCTAGGAAGGTAGCTTTTCACAAAATACAGAAATGTAATTGGTTATTTCGATAGTTGTTAGGGTGGCTTTAAAGTCACTCGATGTCCTTTAACCTGTATAACGTAGAATGAAGAGATTTTGTAGGCTTATGAACTACGGTGATTTTGAAAGGTATTAGTAATCTAGTTTGCAATCTCAGAGGTATTCTTCACGTACGGTAAAATTATCCACAGGTTAGTTTCCAAGGCTGAATTTTTCGTTAACGGTGAATTCGACAAACATCTTTCGATATAATTGCGTGGATAGCCATTCTTCTGGAAGACGGCGATTAAATTGTTTTCTTCTTTTTTCCGTAAGGTTAGTCTGCTGCAGTTTGTATATCAATCTAGGAAACTCCTTTCAACTAAAATATTACAACTTTTACACCGAACAACTTTATATCTTAATCGTTAATGAGCACATGTGAAAAGCAATAAACATTACTACAGAAAACTGTAACTTCACGAACAGATTCCATACAATGAGAGAAATTACTTGGCATAATCTAGTAATTCTGATATAAATATGGTTCTCAGATGTTTCAGCTATCCATCAATTATAAAACACTAATAACTAACGTGTTTTTTAAAATAAAAAAGTGCGAAACAGTTTTCCGACCACAAGTTTCTTCGTAGCATTGTTCGCGTGTGGTGGAATTGTCGCATGAGCAATTTTGAGATCAGCAAAAGGTACTAGGCAAGTCGATTGACAAGGTTACGAACCTCAGTCAACTGAGATGACACGGACATGTACTACGCATGCCAAGTCATCCCCTACTTCCAAGTGCCATGCTAGAGGAAGTTGGATTAGGATGGAAAAAAGTCCAGGGTGGCCAAACCAAGACCTGGTACTAGTCGATGGAGTTCATGACTGTTGGCTTGAGCAGTATGGGGGAGATGTAGACTGTCAGGCTGAGGTCCCTGAGGCGAAAGGGATTAGTGGTTGAGCACACTTGGTGACATGGCTGAAAACTGATCACAATAGCACAGATATGTTTTCACTCTTTGATGAGCTCCGAATCTTGAATATTTGCACTAATCTTTAAAATGTTTATTCTCTCACACTATTTTATCTACTTTGATATCAATCCTTTTATATCCCCCTTTTCCTTGTGTATTACTGTTAAGTGTGGCAACTTGAGCCGATGAACTCCTGTGCGAGGTTCTACGTTGATTTTGTTAATCAGTTAGTCAGTTTTTTAAAATTCAATATAGAACGAATTAAAAATGCAGCGGTAAATAAAAATTTTGCAAAATAATGCGCTACATATGATATAAATATATTTAAACACTATAATTTTCTCTACTAAATTGTATTTGATCAGACATAGTAGTAGTAATAACGCTATCATCATGAATAAATGAAATGTACAGTGTGATTACAAAACTCTGTTTACTATTCAGAAATATGCGTGTACACAATATGATGAAAATGGAGGCTATATACAGATTTAAGCCTATTGATAACTAGAATAATTTGTTGTTAATTATCAGGAAAAAGATGTAAAAAGATGTGATATAGAAGCTTTAGTGAATGAAATGCAGTATGAATGAAACATATCTTCATTGTTCGCCTATGAATTCAAATAAACTCTATTTATTTTTCTTCATAATCCACAACACAGTGATTACAACGATATCAAACAAGCATCTAGTGCTTACGTGTCCTCTGATAAACGGCTAGTTGCAGGTCGAACTAAACGAGAGAGAAAAATGACACGAAAAACTATTAAAATGCATATTCAGTGTTCACAGCAGAGACTTTTTAATGACACAAAAGGCAACCTAATGCATATCGCCTTACAAATTTGAATATTAGCTCATGATTGCTTCTATGCTAACATCTGTAAGATTTACAACGAAAATCCACACATAAACACACAACGATAGTGCAGGTTTATTTCAATTGAATTTCCCTCAAATGTCACACCCAAGAATGCTAAGAAGACAGGAGAACAGCACAAGACAGTAAAAATGAGGGTCAAAAGTGTGGTTGTTTGTGTTTCATGTATTTAATTTATTACATTAACAGTTACTAAAACTCAGATTTTATTTATTGAATCGTGAACTATTAAAATACGAAAGGCTTATACAGCATAAGAATTCGCACTATAAGTCATAACCTTATGCTATAAAATGTGTATTATATACAAAAGGAACGAAATACTGAAAGGAGAGTGTAGTCATACTTTAGGCAGAAATTCATCTACATTCTGAAATACGATTTAGAAAACAGTTAATTCTCATAATAAATGTCTATTAAGTATGATACTCAACCTTATATTGAAGGGAAAGAATTGTTCCTGAAGAGAACACAGGATCTAATTTCGAAATCTTAAATCCTCTTGTCCAAAGTCGTTCTTCCCTACAATTGTAACAGATGTAGAGTATTCAAAAGGTCTAGGGTGTTAACCGAGTATTACGTGTACTTTCTCCAAGGCGAAAATCAAAGCCAAAACATTTCGGTAACATTTCGATAAGTAGATAAACTGAGAAACTAAATAATTGTGGTGTATGTTTATGCCAACAGCTCAAAACAATTGAATGTGTTAGATAAAACTGTCCCGCTTGACCCCTATTCTATTTTTTGATTAGAACAGTAGATATTATTCACTGGTAATCATCAATATCAACCTAGGACCAGGCATTTACTGCGTAGCGATCCGAGTTGCCACACCTCATGTTAGTACATCAAGTAAAAAGGCAGTGAGGCGCAAGATGAAGATAAGAAAATTCAGTCAAGAGAAATATAAAGTACGAAAAGAGAGAAACGAAGAATGAGAAAGTAGTGAGATTCAGTGTAGCGTCATTAAGATGAAGATAATGTGTGCATACATCTGCACCACTGACATAGGTTCTCAGCCATATCACCTACAGTCTCCAACCACTGGTTCCACTTGTCCCGCGGATATTCCAATCACCTAGCCTGCATTGCCCTACATGGTTCAAACCAACAGACACAGACTTCATACATTGGTGGAATGTTTTAGTCTGGCCACCTCGGGCCTTTCTCCACTCTGGACCTACTTCAGCCAACATTGTGTGACGAGGCAATCGGTGACTAGGCATACGTAGTACGTGTCTCAACCATCTCAGTCGATCAGGGTTCACAACCTCGTCAGTCGGCTTACCTCTTCTCCCTAGAACTATACACCCGACTTCTGCATTGCTCACCTGGTGGCACCACGGAATACGGCCTATACTACGAAGGCAACGGTGGTCAAACACTTGAAGCCTTCTCATATCTTCCACTTTCAATGGCCATGTTTCACAGCCATACAGTAGAACAGACCGGACTGCTGTGCAGTACACGCGACCCTTAATAGACAAACGAATATCACGGCGGCGCCATAGGTGGAGTAAATTGGCAAAAGCCAATCGAGCCTTTGTATTCGTACAGAGATTTCATTGGTAAACTTATTGGTGAGCATAGATGCAGGATCCAACCTAAACGTGACATTATTTAACCAACAAACTTTACCTTCCCATATCTCAGCTACCAATGGAATCTCTCTTAGTTTCCCTTCCACCATTTCTTCATCTATTTTGATTCAGTTATCGTATCCAAACTCAGATTAGGTTAGAACATGTGTACCATACATTATTTAAAAAACACAGACCCGAACAGTTTTCCAGTCTTAATATGACTACATCTGTTTAGGCGCAGTCATACCAACGAGTGGTAAATGTCCAAGCATGTGTTCCATCGACTTAACTCCCACTGGTCCCATCCAACGACAACTAATAGCAATATGGTTTATTTGCGTTCACTGATGAATTTATATCCAACTATTTCTCTCTTTATGGCTGAAGTTTGTCTTAGTGACTTTCTGAGCACAGTTGCAGCAGGCGATTGCAGTTATCTGTTCGTTTAGCTGGAATTCATAAAGTGATGCCTAATCGCCTGTGTGACTTGGCCTACCTACTTGTGCATTAAAATCACCTGCTACAATAGCAAAATCTGAATGTTTGGCTTTCATTAAAAGGCTAAACGGTTCTCGGTAAGAACTTATCTTTACGCCATCCAAGCTACAGTCAGTGGTTGCGTAAGGAGAGGTTACAAAAGGACACAGAGAAAGAGACAACGATGGGTTCAGCTGCGATTCAGTTAAGCAGTGCACTTTCTGCCTTAACAGCAGACGATGAGAACCGGTCATCGAATCCCTAAAACCTTCAAGGGTGGATTCTGTAGATTCACTATATTCTCCTGATGAGATTAAGTGAATAACCACACCTCGATCCTGTATGCGTATCTCACAATAGTACAGGTCTTTGGCTCGAGATAAAAGAGTTTTAGCAAGTACTTCGACTGACGGTGCAGACACTGAAAACTCCATTGGGTAGTTTCCAGAAACCAGTTACGCTACCTCCTGAGCTAACATGGTTATCAAGAACTGAAAAACTGGGAGAAACTAAAGATAATGAAAGAGTATAAAGAGAAAGATAAAGAAAAGATAAGAAGGTAGGGATCTGGAAGGTTGATGGCGATAAGAGGGGACTCAAGAGCTGTTAGGGATATGAGGACGGATGACACTTACAAGCTACATACACCATGGAAAGTTAATTCTTCTCGAAAAGCCTGGGAAAGTAAGTGGATTAGTGCATGATGTTAGCATCCAAAGGGTTTGCTTGAGGCTTTCCACCAATGTCCTTTAGGGGAGTTTTCGGTTTAAAAGTGAATGTTACGCTCAGATAGGAAAAACCAACACCATCAGCACAGGAAGACCTCAGAGTGGCGAGGAATCTGCAGTATCAGCATGAAATACTGATCATTCACAGGAGACACTACACTACTAGCACACCTAGTTTACCCAACTGTATTACTACGCTGTCCGAACCCCATCATAACCTAAAGTAATTACACTACGACAGCACCTGCTTTTAGTCTTACTACTACCCAATAGATCTTTCTACCTTGGTAGGATCACAAGGAATAATCGTTACAACCAGAATGGTTGGTTTGGTTATCGAGATATACAAGTTCGACCATCAACCGAAGATAGTAGCTATGGGTCAGTCAGTCTAGTGATTATGAACCTCAGGATATCTTACAAAATGTTATTCAAACTGATCTCCCTGTCGTTATCATAGGGAGATTTCTCTTCGTATAACCTAGAATGTTTAACAATATAGACCGGTTTGACAACAGTAAATATGATTACGATACCTTGGTTGCTACAGCAAGTCATTTCCCACCCTTTACTTCGGAAGGTAAATTATCGGTTGCTTTGAATTATTTCAGAGTCAAAACAGCCTTCTCAATATCCCTGAGAGTTTGAAGAATGGTATCTACATTCCACACAGTTTTGGGTTGGAAGCTCGGCAACCCAAACGTGGTTGTAGACCAGCTGAACCATTTTTCAAAGTGTCTCATCTAGCATTTCAGACACCTGTCCCGAAAGGTTATCAATAACTCGCCTTTCTTGGTGATAATCTCACTGCCTATCATCTTCGTTCCAGTGTTTCTGACAAGCTGAAATACTTACTGAGTGGTATCTAGGGTCAGTCTCATTGCCATGCATGGAAATAGTCCCTAATACACACCTAAGAACGGCTATCACAAACCTACTAGACCTTTCTCAATCAATCACTAATCTAAAAGTAGTAATGAAAATTCATTACAAATTTTTCGCAGCTAGAATATTTAGAGGAAGCAAACAACGATATTTGACTTTTGAATAAACTATTAAGTTACATAACATGATTCTTGTCCATTTATGTTTTGAAAAAAAATAGGAAATAAAGTGAGCATCTAAATAGCACGCTGTCTCTATACCTCCCACTTATGTTTCACAAATCACAACCAGGTAATTTTTTTAGTAACTAGTAACAATAATAGGTAAACAAATGAATTCCGCCTTGGAATTTCACTTGGTGCCCTAATGTCTTCTTACGTAACCATCTAAACATAGCTGGATAAAATCCAGAAATTCTCAAGGTTCAAAATACCAATGATATCAAAGTGACGAGTTCCACTATCATCTGACTATCACAGTGAAATGTAACAGGCATTTCGTAGGAATATCCCTATACCTTTTTTTCTTACTTATGGTACTTTTTGAATTCTTTCCGTTCACTCTTTTTTTCACCCGCCCGGATCCCACTTTTGATAAAACATGCTGGTGTTCTGTTTGGCCCCCGTCTCCTCTAATGTATTGATTGCTGCCTACCTTTCAAGGTCATTGTGACTATCTATGTATACCGTCTTCACTTCGAAATACTATGAACTCCATTGAACATCAGTCTTCTGATTTCACTCTACAAACTACTTGGGGGGGGGGATTGTCTTAACTCTTGGACACTCACCCGTTAATTGCTCTCCTTCATTCGAGTAACTACATATCATAGCAGTTCTAGGATACGAAGGGAACGTTGATCAAACACTAAAAGCCTTCTCATGTTCTTTACTTTTAATGGCCATGTTTCACAGCCATACAGTGGAACAAAGTGAACTGCAGCACAGTACACTCGACTTTTATTAGGCAATCGGATACCGCGGTGGTGCTACAGATGGCGGAAGTTGGCGGAAGTTAATCCAACCCTTTTAATCCATGAAGAGATTTCGTCGGCCACTGACCTGCCTGTTGGCAATGATCTAACTTCCCAGGCAAGTGAAGTGGTCAACAAATTCAATAACTTCCCTCTTAACTGTTGGACAGGACATTGCTGTAGACCAGTTTCATTAGCAACAATTCGTATTCAGGTGAGAAGATACATACCAAACATTCTTAAACTCCCACTTAAAGTGTCCAGAAAATCCTGTATCTTCTCAGCGTTTTCACCTAACAGAGCTATGTCATCTGCGTAATCTAAATCTACTAAGGATTCTCCAGTGATTAGATCAATCCCTGCGATGCCAAATGAGAATGAGACCTCCATAAGAACATTTACCACATAATTGAACAGGAATGGAGAGAGTGGGCATCCATGACGAACAGCTCTCGATGTACACAGCTCACCTGACAACTCACTATGGACTGTACCATGCCAATGCTTGTTCGAGTAAGAAGCGCTTAGCAGAATGATATACTTATTTGGTACCCCTTTCAGTGAAATACACTGTCATAAGAACTCTTGGTCAAAAGAGCCAAACGCCACCTTCAGGTCAAAAAAATACCCAGTGTTGGAAGTCGATAAGTATGACCGTGTTCCAGAACATGATGAGGTGTAAATATTTGGTCAATACACTCACGGTCAGGTCTGAAGCCGGTCTGGTTCTCTTGGACTTGCTGTTTCTGAGCCCAATCGGACATCTAATGACCATAGAACTTAGGATCTCAGACATTATATTCGTAAGGTTGATTCCTGTGATTATCACAGGAAGAATCCCCGCCTTTCTTGAAGACTGGGGCGATCAAACATTGTGACCAGTCACAAGGGATTGTATCCAACTCCCACACTCTAGTCAACGCTTCAGTTAACTTGACTAAAAATTCCTGACCATTGTCCTGAAATACCTCTAGAACTAGTCCGACCGACCCTGCTGCTCTTCTTCGTTTCACGTTACCTACAGCTTTCTCAGCTTCTCCAAATGTTGGAGGATCTATCTCGATGTCCCATTCACGCTCCGACTGAATAGCCGGCAACAAAATAGTAGATGGAGGCAAGTTGAACTGTTTCTTGGAATGTTCCGCCAATCTCTCAAGTTGTCTTGCCTGCCAGTGAACCCCAGACCCATTCTTCTCCACCAGTCTCAATAGCCATTGACTTTTTCGCTCCAGTTTCTTTGATACGTCTAAATAACTGTTTACTGTTACCTATCACCACTGCCTTTTCAAATCCAGCCTTCGCGACCTTTGAGTAGACTTTTTTCCAGTCTACGTTTGAGTTGCATTCTCCCGTCATTGTACTTGGAGCCTGCAGGGATGAGTTTGCATGGATCCGTTAATTCAGAAGAAGCAACTGAGATCCATTGGCTCTTGATAACCACTCTCTGAGAGCACCAAGCTTATTCTGGATGAGTGATATTGCTCAGTTCCGATAACTTTCAAGCCATTTTCTTAATGAAAGTAGTCTTAGTGGTCTTGTTGTCAAGCTGTACTCAAAATGGTCTTGTTGCTAAAGTTTTTCCACATCCATTGAGATACAGATATATACGTGCTCGAACCAACGCAGCGTCGCTATTCAAACACGTGCTCTACAAGGGGAGACAGTTCTCCGCCAACCCTCTCTAGAGATGACTGGTAGCAATGCTGTCTACCTGTGTCCACCGCCAATATCTATCTTTATGTTTGAAGTTTGTCCTGGCTAGAAATAAACGGTTATCTGAGCACAGTTGTATTAAGCGACTGCCATTATCTGTTCGTTCAGCTGGGATTTCGAAAGTGCCACCTAAGTGTCTTACTGTCGGGCATAGCCTGCCCACTTATGCATTGAAATTACCTGCAACAACAACCACGTCTGAGCGCTTGACTTCTAGTAGGAGGCTAGAGTTTTCGGTAAAACTCGTCCTTCACTTCATCTGCACTGCAGTTAGTGGGTGCATAAGCAGAGATTACAAGGAGACAACAGAGATTTTCACTATTCCGTTTTGTCCTCACCGTCCTATTCACTCAAATAGCGCATAGACGACTGTCGACTGGAATCCAGTCGAGCAAAGAACTTTGTACCTTAGTGCTCAATGCCATACTTACACCTACAAGACTGCGAGGACCGGACATCGAATCTCCAGAAACCCAAAGGGTGGGTTTTGCGGAATCACCATATTAGCCGAGTGAGTCAAGTAAGTAAACGCACTTGGGTCCTATATGCCTGTCTCCCAAATACAGGACAACATCCATGGCCTAAGTTGCCAGTTTTCCCTAGTGAAGCTTGCTGGTCGACTTACCGGAGGATCCGGACATTGTAAGCTCTGATGTGTGGTTTGAAGCGCGGTCTCAGGAGACCTGGGTGCTGTTCTGTGAAGTAAGATCTTTTAGAGAGCTACAGAGCTGGGACAAATCAAACAATGTGGGATAGCTGATTGCGAGACATGAAGGAAGACTAGAAGGTGGGGGTGTGAAAGGTGGATAGTGATCTGATGGACCTTGAGTGCTGACAGAGTTATGAGGGTGGTTAACCCATCCCGGCTGCTAACACCGTTGAAGGCTAGTTCTTCTTGACGCACCTCAAAAAGAAGGGTTTGTGCGTGACGATAGAGCCCATGGGACATATGCTTGAAACCGATCATATACGGTTTTTTCGCAAGTTTGAGATTTAGTTTTCTGCTTTCGAATCCGACTATGAATCCCTGTCGCACGTATGGGCACGCCGCAGGAGTGGGGTGTGAATGTGCTACTTTCGGGGCCGACCTTTTCTAACCTCCTCCCCTTCCCATTGGGAAAGCAGTATCAGCGTGTCACTTCTAGTCATCCAAACGAAACATCTTATTGCTATCACATCCATCCAGCAGCAGTAGGACTTCGCCCTCGGACCCTCATTACAGCGTAGCAATTTACAGTATAACGGTAACTGCTTTTTGTCTAACCACCATTTAGCAGACCTTTTTGGCAGGGTGAAGCTTCGAGGGAATAAGCGTTCCATCAGCATAGTTCGTTGGGTCACTATTTTACAAGCCCGACTACCATGTCAACGCGGCAGCTGCCGGTAAGGGTTGATATTGATCGATTGGTTGACTCAAAAATCAAAATGTATAGGTTCATAGATCACGCAAGGAACCCAATACATTTAGTAAAAATTGATGACAGGACCTGGCTGGTAACACGGATAAGGAGGACTGGGAAGTTGAACATCAAAGCCAATGAGTCGGAATTTTACAAGGTTAGAGGAAATAATTAATAAATACTAGGAACAGTTATAGAAAAGTACTATTATAACTGGCTTTACTGCTTAATAGTAATTATAACTCACTTGATATTACGGCTTCACTTAGTTGCCGTTTGATAGTTATACCCACCTTTGTACCAGGTATGCTGTTATTATTATTATTATTATTACTCTTGTCTTTATTAAGCGAGCTGTAAACCTGAAATCTTTCCTGTGGTTTAAAATGATTGTCAATGGAAGACTGCCGTTGACCGGAATTGACTGCAGACGATGGAGCGGATATATGACGTTTACGTTCGCTCAATGAAGATTGAGATAAAAATGCAGATAAAATAGGTAAACCAGATGTCGCAGCTGAATTACTATTACTATTAGTAGTAGTAGCAGTTGCAGTAATACTAGTGGTATTTGTATGATTTTTAAATGATTCAGTCTTCTGACTTGACTCTAATCGGGGAGTTACATGAGTAATTTGAATATGTCTGATAGGAGTAGCATCTAAAATTGGTGCACTTGGGCTTTTAACTTCAGTAGGCACTACAGGTTTATTGGTAAACCCTCGTACAGTTGGTCTGTTAGCCAAGAGTGGAGTTTGACGTAATTGCTAGAAGATAAAACAAAATTTAAAACATATTAGGCATTTAAAGCAACTGGTCCCTTTGATAAATTTAAACAGCGTAATGAGAAGACGAAGATTATCTGAAACATGTGATGTATTAGCGCTATACATTTCGAACAATCTGATGATACATGGACTTGTCGAACTATTTATATGAAAATTTACGAAAAGGTCAATGAAGTTAATGGGAAACATAGGAATAGGAAGGGATAGAAAAGAAAAACCTTATTCTTGGTATGAAAATTAAAATCAATACTACCAAGGTAGGTTCAACGTGAGTACAAATTGTTTTTGTATACATAAAGGGGTTTAAATTTACGGATGGCAAGAGCTTCAATAAATTTAAGCACTCGGCTCCTATTCCTATGTTTCCCATTAACTTCATTGACCTTTTCGTAAATTTTCATATAAATAGTTCGACAAGTCCATGTATCATCAGATTGTTCGAAATGTATAGCGCTAATACATCACATGTTTCAGATAATCTTCGTCTTCTCATTACGCTGTTTAAACATATTAGGCACTTTGAAATGCTATTGCATAGACTTAACTTTAAATGATTCTGTGATAAATTCATTTGATAAAGTGTTGATAAACAAGGCTACAAGTATTAGATGGAAGAAATTATTAGAATAAAATAACTATATAAGACCAATTTTCCTCAACAAGTTTACAATAATTGTGAAGAGACGGAGGAAGATCATCTTTAGATGACCGAAGCGATGATGAATTGTAAAACGCTAATATAAATGCTTTTATCACAATGCTTGACTATTGAATTGCTTGGTCAACTTTTCACTCTGTTGACGGATAGTTGTCTTCTTACATGGATTGGCCACCGCAGGGTAATCAACTTCATGTTGTCTAGTCCTAAATGCAGATCGGATTCTGTCGATCATTTTTGCAGTTTGGCCACCAGGTTAGTTGAATTAACATCGCAATGCACTTCGATAGATATTAGTCGGATGGAGACAACTGACAGGAGGCCCTAGATCTAGGTTTCGTGCTTTTTGGCACTCGTCAGTAAAGCGTATCTGTGTATCAGCTCAAAAGAAAAATATGTTTCCCAGACATCTTTTTAGAAGGCTTTTCATGACCACTGCTGCAGTATCACCTCTAAAATCAATGCTCATGAACAAACTTTCTTCACAGGATGCAGAAGATATTTTTAGTATGTTTGTCGTATCGATAATAATACGATCCTTTTAAATTCATAATCGTGTTTACAGACTGTAGAAGTGTCGAATTACTTCTAATAATTTCTCAAAAGTCCTGAATAGGAGGAAATACATGTCCTGGATTCCATTGCTAGCCATTATCTATCAGTAGTATAAAATTGAAACAGGCGATTTCGAGGCATCCGCACAGGAGCCCATATGCTAATAGAGACCTGTCAATTCAGTTTAATCAACGACGAGAACACGCAAATAACAACATATAGACTATACCGGTTGCACAAGAAACGGCTATCCTGACTCGGTAGTCTAGTGGATAACGCTCTGGGGTTTGAAGTGGTCGGTCTCGGGTTCGAATTTCGGTGGGAACAACACCACAGGTACATCCAGCTGACGAGTCCCAAATGGGACGGAACGCCAGCCACTGTATATAGCCATTTTCTCTGCAATCGTGTAAATGAACAGCCCCGGTTAGTATCATTATTATTATACTTATCGTTATTTTTATTGTTGCTGTCATCGCTATTAGTATCATTGTTACTGACTATTATTATTATTATGTTCATGTGAGCTTCAACATTCCAATTTTGCACTTCTTGAAGTAATAACCATTACTTAAAGAGCCAATATCATCTTATAAAACCCAAAATAAGCATACAACAAAGTTCAACATAACGTAAGTAGTGTGTGGAACACAATCATCCACCCAATGTACGCACCACGCAATAAAATTCTTAGGAGACCCCAGTTTTGCATAAAACATGGTTTACTAATCGAAAACATTTTTCTAAATTGTCATTTTCATGTTATTTCTTACAGCATGGCTAGTAGTTTATTTTCTGCCCCCATTTTCAAGGTAATGCATTGATTAGTTAGTGTTTACTTGTACTATGTTACTATGTCTCAATTTCTAGACACGATCATATCTCATGCGTATACATACGCACGTGTGCTTGGGTTAATTGATGAATATTATTCTCGGAGGGATAAGGGTGACTTTAAAGGCTACCCTAGCAACGACTGAAATAGCCAATCAGATTTCTTCAATTCGGCTGGAAAAGATTTTTATAAAATAGAAAAATTTAATTGATTATTTCAGTTGTTGCTAGGGTAGCCTTTGAAGCCACTCGTCGCAGTACCTTTACGTAATTCGAAGCGTGTAGACAGGAAGAAATTTAGAGTAGTAACTACCTGACAATGAAAGCAGAAATGACAGTATGTAACTTACGTAGTCAAAGGTATGGTTTTTTTGTCATGGATTCCAAACGGATATAATACTCACGGTTAAGTGACAGCTAACTTCGTATGCAAGACTCACCTACTCTAACCCGGGACGAATAGAGAAAAATGAACTAGATAGGAGAACTTATTCCTCGAGCGACTTTAAAGGGCACCGTAACAACTGCCAAAATAACCAATTAGGTCCCAGTATTTTGGCTGGGAAAACAAATTTTCATAGAATAGAGAAAAGTGATTGATTGTTTCACTAGTTGCTAGGGTGGCTTTTAAAGTTACTCTACTTGACCACTACCACTAATACTACTACTCTTATAGCCCGAAACATCACAAATGACAATATGCAAGTCCTGCGCTTTTATGAATCCCAAAATACACTACTAACTGACGTGAGTAGTTATAGACCACTCCCATAGATCAGCAGTGCTTGCCAGTTGGATAGAGATGATGTCATGCTCACGATTTTAACGCTAGATGTAATTTCGAACGCCTTAGATATTGTGGTCTGAATATACTTCAGTTTGCTGAGAAAAATACGGTGGAATAATTGTGTCATTCTCACCCTTAGAATAACTGGTGACAACGTGTTAGCAAGGCTGCTGCGATTTTCCAAATAACTAGTGTAGTAAGTCCATTTAATTAGTTTATTACATTTTCTTAAACAAGGTGTTCGTATATATCACATCCATCGTGTTAACTTAGATACGACAGTTACCGAAACATGGTCTAACACTCAAATTTTTCACGTTGCGTCAGTCACCAGGAAACCTAAAACCAAGAGTTCGTGTTTGTTTGTACTGAGCAACATGCGTCTTTCGTGATTCAAACCAGTGTCACTCAATGCTGATATCAGAGAATTTATCAAAAAGCTATTCATACTAATACCGGCTTTGTGTAGGACTAAACTGTTTAACACGAACCAGTCAGTAGCGAGTAACTGACGTAACCATCTAGTGCTCAGTCCTCAGCGCCGACCGAAGTCTATCGACCAATGTCGCATTACTGCAAACTTGATCGGAAACCTTCTGTCTGTGCTATCCACCAAGGACTAGACAACTGCATCGGTTACCGATACTGATGACCGATTTGTTTACTCAAATTTTTATTCGTGTTCGAAAGACCTTACATTTTATCAGTAACTTTATCGAACAGGATTATATAGATTGTAAAGTATAGGTTCAATAAAGGTTCTCTGGGTAGTAGATACGTTGTATCTATAGCCATATATGGGTGTAGGACTATGAAGTAGAATCTAGTTAATGGTGAATTACATTGAGTGGTAAACAGGACAACTCTGATAATAATAATAATAATAATAATAACTGAATGTGACGGAAAGATAAAAATCCCTTGAACAGATACCAAACGATCGAAATGCTGGTGAACAAACTGTTCAGTAAAAATCCAGATTAATTATTTCAGGCAGATAAAATTACCTCCTATCAGTACACATACGATGCAGTGAAATATAAATGGTGATGGCAGATATTCTTCAACAATACTACTAGTAGTCATCTCACGTCAGATGATGGATCCTATTAGACCTTCATTACGTTTAGTGGGTTTGGGCAGTTTTGGCTAGCATGATATACATGATCGGCACTCTCTTGACCAACAGAAACACATCACTATAATACCTCTCAGTAGATAGAATCGAATCCCACTTTTAGGGTCAAATATCTTATCATAGTGCTTTCATGTGAACCTGTAAACTGTGTGGTATTTTTCTGATTCATTGTTCTTCAGCTCCACTCGGATGTCGGTTTATTATGGAGTTCAGGATTCTAGACTATATGGATCAAATGGATCCCATAGAAGATTTCTCTGTTTTCTAATGAATTGGAAAAGTAAATGATCAATAACATCTTCTAAGTCTAATCTGAGATTTCCCTATATATCAACTAGTATCTCAGTTAGTCCAACCGATAACTTAATATCGCCATTATTAAAAAAACATTTTGAGCAAACACCATCTAGTCCAGTTGTTTTCTCAATTTTAGATTTACATCAACCTTCTCGATTTCGGCAAGAGTTGAACGACTGATGTTTACTTTTTATACAGGTTGAAGGTGGACAGTAGGTGACAAAAACGTAACTATAAGTTAGTTAAACCCTCCCAAATAGTCATTTATCCAACTTTTTAACCGCCATAATTAAGCTTCTATTAAGGATACACCTTCCTTCGTGATAGTTTCACTAACCACTCACCTTTTCGGATTCCCTCCTTTAGTAAACTTAACAACGATACCTACTTTATTTTTTCAACTAATTTCTCCCATCACTAATTGCAACCATTGATAATACCTTCAATCAGCTTATGCGCATCTTTATGTAAAATAACTGGAATGATTCTTAGCAAACCAATTAATTTAAATGAAGTTGCAGAAATCCGCTTGTTTTTATTTACCTTTAGTTTCAAGTTAGTAATTTGAACTGTTATTACCACGGCAAACTAGTGAATATGACAGACGAAATCGAAATGAGTAGTGTTATCATACTTCTGCACCATCTAACCACCTAACTTTTGAATACAAACACTATGTGATTATTCACCCGTGGATACACACATACTTCGACCACTGTCTGATTGAAGTCAAAGTAATTAATCTTAAGAGAGACCAACAGTCTCCTTGTTTTCAAAGATGGTCTATAACAAAATGATCTAGCTTCATTGCTGGGTTTATATCAATAACCACTGAGTCAGACAATGTCATTCTTTATGGTCAGTGGTTGGTTTAAGGAGATGACGATCAAGTATTGGGTCACAGGTTCAAACCATGCTCCACCTACCAAGGTTTGGGCACTCAGTTAGTATTCCTAGACCTCACACAATAGATGTAGCTCATTGCCTACTGCACAAATATGCACAAGGTTGCTGAGTGCGTCTCGCTTATGTTTTGTTATTCTTTAACCTTAAATTTAGAGTTATTTACGAATATAAGATTTCTTCATAAAGCAAATACAAGTGACTATCAGATGGGTTGGAAATTTAACCTCACAACGAACGGTAATAACTCATGTGGCACCTGTATGCAGAAAGAATGACAGCAACAACCAATCAAGTAAAAGTGTCATCAAAGTGTCTATCTTTTGTTCTCATTCGTTGATATCCTGACTGTATTTTGCTAAATACAATACTATTATGCATTGTGTGGACTAGTAACTTCACTCTGAGTCAGCTAAAGTGGTGTTAAGGCTAGTAAAACCAACTGGAACATAACAGCTCGGCGCAACAATAACAGTTAAGACCAGCATTCAGCATTTTCCTCAATCTTTTGATCATAGAACTCCACATAGGAAACCCAAAACGAGGTGAGAACAATAAAACCGATCAAACCGTCAGATCAGGAACATAACAAATCACTAGCACCCTAGTTACCGTCTTACTTAGGACTATTTTATTTGATGATTGGATCATAATTATCTTGGCTACATCTTTCTTAAATAAGTGACGGGTTATTTTATTATGGTGTAAATGTCAGTTGACAAAGAAATTCGTAGTCTAATATTTCTTCATTTCGCTTTCCGGATAATTAGATAATTAGATAATTAGCAAGTATAGGAGAAGTGAGTAGTTAATTTTTTAGATGCTTCAATTGCATTTATTTAATTACAAATACGATGTAGATGATCGCTGTTACTATTGCTTTGCTTATTGACTCTAAAAAGACCTGTAGAACACTTTTTAATTTGCCAAGCCTCTTATTTTTGGCATTAAAACCAGCTAATCATATGACCATATCCGAAAATTTGACTCTTCAAAGTAAGATCAGCAACCTTTCATAAAATTCATCCTTCATATCGTCCAAACTGCGATCAGTTAACATAAAGCGTAAACTGAGAGTAAGGATCGAACGCATACTGTTTTTCGGAGATGTTATGCATCCTCTTAGACGAACAACAGATAAGCGACTAGAAACTCAGAAAAGTGTAATTTCTGCCTAGTAAATTACAATTTTCTCTATGCTAAAGGATTCATAGGATTCAGTCATAAAATTCCTGACTTTCTGTAAGGTGATCTGAACCGACCCGCCCCCAAACTAACTAGGTGATATTACGTAAACAACCACAATTTCATTGTGTACGTACGTCAGAGAAGTATATTCAGCTATGGGTCAGGATGCCACAATTTCAGCTAGAGAATGGCCTATTTTCTAACTTGACGAAGGTTTAGAATGTTGAATTTTTTAGAGTGTACTTAGTTACATGATTTTAGGCTCAGTTAGTTCAGAGTACCTTGGTAACTGCCTCCAGCCCTTTAACACTTCAATGTCGAGCTAATAGAAAATTAGACCAGAGACGTCATTAGTAAGATTCAGACAGCACTGGTAAGTAAATCCTGATCACCAATTCTTGATCGACAAGTGGACACATTAATGGCGTTCATAGGCTTAAGAAACAGAACAATCGATCAAATGATGGTAAAGAGTGGCTTTATGATGAATCATCCGTCTAAAAAACAAATGTATGAGTCAACTGAATCAGTTGTCCTGATACAGAAAGTTTCATACAAAGAAAAAACAACCACTTATCCAAAATGCCACTGTATTATCTCTTGTGATGAAATATATCACATGTGGTAAGCAATAGCCAATCTCTCATTCCTACAGCTTAGTTAGTATCGCTTACAGTATAAAAATTGTTCTCCGGTCATATCAATATTAAATTGTTCTGGTAACATCAAATACGAATCCACATGAGACAACTTACTAGCCGCAATATTCAGTGATAGCACGTGGTACGAAACGTGAATATATTGCTTATATAAAGGCATTAGGACTAGATCCCCATACCAATCTTAACTACTCCCTTACCATAGACCATTTTCATTACACCAATCATCTAATTCACAGTGTTAAAAAGCAAGTGAAAGCGTGGTACAAAGATCAAGAACTTACTTTAATACGGCGACTGACATTCTCTCCATCACTTGATGGCAAAATGACAGGATTCGGTTTATCAGCAGCAGTAGCAGCTGCTAATGCTACCACTTCATCCCGAGAAAGCATGACTACACGTCTTGTGTTATCGAGCATAGAGGGCTTCATTAATCACAAAAGACAAAATAAGCGATGGTAAGAATATTGAAAAGAGTACGATGGTGCAGACAGATGATTTAAGTTAACAGTTGGAAAAGAATATTCAGTTGTATAATACTGAAAGATGAAGCTGGTGAATACATGGTTGCTGAATGCAAATATACTAGCAATATGAGATAAATGGAGGGGAATGCGGAAGAATGTGAAATCGATGCAGACAAGGTCATTTATGAAGCCTTTCTTGGCTGTAAAACGTTTTCTGCATGTGAAGCTTTCCTACCGTTTCAGTTTTATATAAGTCATTTCGAAACCCCAAGATAAACTCGAATGCTTTTCGCCGCATACTATGTGACCACCATCAACCAGTTGAAAGAAAAAACAGCTTAGCATAGGTCCCAGTTGTCATTTTCCAGGCCACGAAGGTAGGTAATCAGTAAGATGTTGACTATCTTATCTAATTGTATCCCCGACTTAGCTGTTAGTCACAGAAGTGAACGAACAGGCCAATACACAACGAACTAGTCAAACTAGGTAGGTTGTTCTTCATAAAAGTTTGTGGACCTGAAAATGATGAGCAAACGTTAGTCGTATACATAATTATTTTAACAGTCCTCGCTAGTCTCTGAAACAAAACCTTACTAGGTGCATCCGAATAAGATTATAACTTAGCAATGGTTTTTTTCGAACACTAACTAGCACCTTGGTCAGTAAACTTTTTTGCAAAGCTGTGAAAAAACATTCCAATCGGTGAATTAACCATACATTTTAACTTTTGAACATAAGAACAGATTTCCTCGGTTCAGACTGTAAGGTATTTTATCAGGTCTCTTTTGCACCGGATAGGCGAGAAACTAAAGAAGCGTGTAATGACAAAAATATAAGCCATTTCTGTACAATTTTTTGTCAAGTAAATCTTCGCATCATCTACTCAATAAATCACCAAAGAAGTGTGTCTTATTTTTACTCTCTACTTCGCAAGCTGATGATGTCTTTCACCAAGTTCCACCAAAAGTTCATCCGATTGATAGTCTAACCACCAATAACAGTGGACGTATCACTGTTGTATCTCTTAGTGATTTGTTATCTAGTTTGGTTAGAAAGAAATTTGCCACAACTGAACCCAATCAGAGTTCAAAAAATTATCTTGATTTAATCTACTTTCAGAATAGCATCGTAACAGAAATAGCAATTTGAGAAGTATCTGCTATTCAACTACTTGATCCCATCAACACGAAAATACACATTGCTGAAAAATATCAGTACTATGTTAACAATTTCATTTTCAAACCTATACAACTACAAATACACTACTTATTCCCAGTGTATAAAACCTTATGGTGATACAAACACCAGAGTATTATTACTCAAAAACACCGGTATCAAAATATCATAAAATCGGATAAAGATGATTAAATTTGTATAGTGATTTGCATAGAATGACAGAACAGTTGAATACTTAGATTTTAGCAAACCGATTATGGAAAGGAAGAACCAATATTATTCAGTAGGACACAATAAAAGTAGGAATGATTGAAACGCTTAGAAGGAAAACAAGCCTTATATGCATGAGTTTCACATCCTCCATGTAAATGCCTACGGTTTCTGCAACACAAAACAGACAGGAGTGATGTCAACAAGATGTAGTTTTCCACCTAGCAGATCACCTTGAGAAACGTACCGAAAACAACTCATTAGAAAAGACTGAACTCTTAGGTTGTTAGTTACTGAACAGTAGCCATGATATATCTGTCAAAATCTTAAAAGTTCTTTAAAAATAAACCTCTTCAGTGTAATAAGTCAGCCGATGCACTAGACAACGTTGTCTACTTTCATCATTTATGACATTCTCAACATACCTCTAAAGGAGTTGTGTAATGGTGTTCACATAGGTCTGCTACCAGGAGATAAACATCGTAAGCATGAGTATGAGGATGATACCGCCTTACTTACTATGTAACAAAACAACGGTTACTTAAATCATACTTAATCAGTTGATCAATGCTCATAGGCATGGTATACAACCTGCAGAATGAAAGTCCAAAGTATTTTTGCTAAATTGACAGTAGTCTATCTACAGTCACTCATGGGAGTAATTCTTCAGAAATAATCTAAGCGTCTGAACATAAAGACAGTTCTTTGGGTATCTATACAATTCCGTACTGAATCCTAAAACGGATTACTTTTGAGTCACTGATTTTGAAAAGTTGGATGAAAGAAATCTTGTTATATGCTAGTGACACTTAACCTTCCCAAACTGAAGATATCTAACAACTGTTTGTACGACCGTACTGTGACATAATTCCAGTTATTGAGGTACCATGGTTCGTATCTCGGTATGATGAAGATAAACATCCATTAAGTGATATCACTTTGAAACACTAGTTTCGGTGGCTTGAACACATTTTGTGCATACCGTCCTAATGGCTTCCACACTTTCATCATTAGCTGTTCTTGGGGATGTTCGTAAGTGAGAAGTTGCCCAATCTTCAAGGCGTAGTCCGGTGATGAAAGATATATATATATATATATATATATATATATATATATATATATATATATATATATATATATATATATATATATATATATCAGGTTATGAATCATAATTTCTGTGTGAAGTTTACAAAACTGCCCGGTTTCCTAGACTGAAGATTCAAATTCACGCTATACATTTTCCTAGCTGCGGCTTAACAGACTATGCAACGCATTGGCTCGAAATATTACCATATATGGTTTAGAACCACAACTAACAACGATCATGTTGTGCATGCCTTATATCTTCGGTTATTATACACAAACGAAAATAATAACATCGTGTTTAATTGTATTTCATGAAACTCCTTCTAGTATTTTCTTTTGGTAGAACTACAACCTACTGATTTGTCTAACAGACTTGCCAACAATGAGTTAGTTTGAAATACATTCCATCAACTGTCCAGGAAACGTAATAACATAGTTGACCACCAAACAACAAACACAAACACTTAATTTGTTGCATTTGTAGCCTACAACTGAATTCAGTGTGAATTGAAAGATCGACGTTACACCAGTAAACATATAAGAAACAAACTGTTTATGAACAAGTGCAAACCTCCACTTTCTATACCGATTTACAATTCTTCATACGAATATCTTCAAAGTAATAAAAAACACAAACTCTCAATTATTTGACTGCACACTAAATATCAATACACAATACTAACTGATAGGCGAGATGAATAAAAATAAAACAGTACTGCGTCTACTACTTATAGAGACTTGCAAGCTTTAGTAATAATCGAAAATAAACTCACTGTATTTTTAACAGGTAGACAATGGTTCTGATCATGAGAATCCACACCATTTGTCATAACTCCCTGAGTTGCATACATAATAAGAAGAACCACTTTACCTCCTCATTTATTAAATCACGTAAGAAGCAACAGATAAAAATCCTAAGCTTTGAGCAAGCCTTTTCCCCAAGATCAATATTCATTTCCTGTACAAAAACGGATGTCAGCTCGTTCAAAGTGCACAAACTTTAAACAGAAGCTCATTGCTGTTATGTGATGAAACTTACGATAACAACCGAGGATCTTCATTGAGAACACTAAATAAAAACAGTCTCAAATGATCGCGAAGATGTGAACCCATGCTTTGATAATCAATTACTTCAGTAAATCAAAGTTACCAAGTAAACTACTGGTGATATGAGTTACAGTTGACAGTGTACCTAAAACAAACAGTTACAATCATAACTGATATAAGTAATAGATTTAATAAAAGTCAGAAAGCCCCTTAATTCAACATGTTTTAACTTTGCAAAAAACCTAAACTGGGACACAATCTATTACGTACACTAATATCGGATAAAAATAGGAAATTGGCCAGTCATTTGAAAACGAGTCAGTCTGGCCGCCCTAAGTCTTCTTCCAAACCGGTCCCACTTCGGCTAACATTACACACTGACGTGGCTGTGGAAGTCGCATCAGCCCGAATGAGTTGGTTTCTGACAAAATCTCAGCTCGGATACAAAAGGCCAGCTTGGCATTTGCCAACCTGCATTACATCTGATCACCTATTAAAGGACGAGTATACTGCGCTTAGTACACTGCTGAAACTATTGTTGAAAGAAGATATGAACACATATAGTGGAATCATTGTGTGAGCAACGTCGAGTCTAGGCGAAGTGCACCAGGGAAAGAGGGGAAAGAAGGGAAATCAGTCAATGTGAAACGTCACCAACTGAGGAGTCTTTGACATACGCATGTCGGGGCCCCACCTACCTCAATTTGCAGTGCCAGCCGCAGTAGAACTGGGTTGGAGGACAAAGATGAAGTACCAACCGATAAAGTTCCTAAATGTTGGTTTGGGCCGGTACTAACGGGTGATCGGAACTCAAACAGGTATTCCAGAAACAATGACAATCCTCTGCTGATGGCTTATAGAAATATGCCCAACCTTCAGATTGCTAGATTCAGGTTTCACTATGCTAACACCGAACGAGAAAAATACACACCACTGGCAAAAAAGTGAAACAAATATGCACTCAACAACCATGTGCACGTTCGTGCAGTAAGCTATGAGTTCCACCTAGTGTGACCGCTAATGATACTATTTGGCTGCCCACACCTCGGTTGGTGGAGCGGGAATCGAACCCGTTACTTATTGCTTGTAAGTCAATCCCATAAACTGACGAATCACAAATCCGCATATCGCTGGCACCGGAATGCCATAGGGCGAGGAATGTAAAACTACATGGGTGGACCTATTTTTAACTCTCATCCATATAGAGAAGACATAGGTATGGTACTGAGTCATTTGAGTGGAGTACTTTACTGTTGTCACACCCCATCCAGACAGCAGTACGACTTCGCTTTAGAACCTCCATCACAATGTAGCTACTTACATTATGACGGTAACTGCTTTTTGTCTTTACCTAACAGACGTTCCTAGCATGGTAAAACCTCTAGGAACAAGAGTTCCTGGAAGTGTGACTCATTTGGTTAGAATACCCCTCCTCTAAAGCTTGGATATTTGCAATAACCTTTATCTCCAAACTGTTTATTGCATCACGCAACTTTGTCTACCTTGAAATCACTTTTTTCTATCCACTTGTTGTCTGTATACTACTCTGAAGTGTGGCAAAACAAATCGATGCACTTGTGGGCGAGGTTCTACGGTGATTTTGTGTCTGTCTATCTGTCTGTCTGTCTGTCTGTCTGTCTGTCTGTCTGTCTGTCTGTCTGTCTGTCTGTCTGTCTGTCTGTCTGTCTGTCTGTCTGCCTGTCTGTCTGTCTGTCTGTCTGGATCATAACAAAACGCGAACTCGGCCATTGCATTCAGATAACAGCTATCGGTCGGGAATCACTAAATCGAAACAAATACAAGATTAAATGCAGTTAGTCACCTAACTTCACCTAGTCAATGCCGTGAGTCTGCTAAACTCATCGTTCGAGTGCGTGGGGTCTCGTTGACTAACTCTTGCGGTATTTTAAGCGTAAAAACAGAGTTAATTCCTGATCCAAAAATTGCACTGCCTAAGTAGTCAGAAAGTATCAACAGCCCTTACACAATAACTGTTGCTTATTGCCTAGTGCACGAAACTGTATTTGATTGTTGAGTTTCACTACATAAAAATGTACTACGCAGTAGTTCGCTGTTCTACTATATGGCTGTGAACCATTTAAAGTGATATGAGAAAGCTCTAGGTTTTCGACCACCATTAACCTCAAAGCACGGGTTTCACATGCTGAAACCATCACGTTAGTAATATACAAATCAAACGTAGTTTTAGGTAAAGGAGGTAAGTGAGTTTATGAAATTGGAAACCTCTATCAGTTAAAATGGCTGGGATGTGTTATTCATTCGCAATCACCACTTACGGCAGTGCGTTGTGTTGACTGAAGTAGGGTTAGTTTTAAAGGAAGTCAAGGTTGGTCAGATATACACGGAATAAGTTTATGAAGTCTGGCTGCTAGTACGAGCCATGTACATGTGAGCTTCCTGGAAGCAGTCCATAAGGTAACTAAAACAGATGGTTGAAGACTCGAAGGAATATCGATCATAGTGGTGTAGACGCATCAACAAATCATGTTCCTCCTAAGTATTATATTACATTTAGCTTCAACCACCAATTCTAGTAGAATGGCCTTCTACAATTATCGTACCTACGTATTTTTGTCTCATATTTTTGCTTTTTAGTGTGAGGTGCTGAAAACTGAACAGTTACTCAGTAATGCTATGTTTGATGTTGACTGATTAAGATGGTAGAAATGTTACATAGAGACGGTGACAAAATATAATTTTTTCAACAGGCAGAAATTATCCCGTATAATATCGGAAGATTTACCGTGGTAGAAGGTGCCACTTTATTTACGAACGGAGGGCACTTTGGGGAGTTTATGGGTTGACGATTGAAGATTTTCAATATTCGACAAGTGTAAAAACACAGACATATTTACCGGCGCTCAACATTTGTCATATTTCTTGACCTACATGTTGAATTCAACTCCATCAACGGAGAACTGATCACAGTAACTTACCATAAAGGAAATGCTGAGAAAATACATTGTGTTAATCAAAGCTCTCTACTCGAAATCACACAATTATGTGAAAAATTAAGGAGAGATTTTATTTGACGTGACGGAAACCAATTTCCAACCGAAATACACTGTGACCACTCCTGTTCGTATCATAATAATACGCAAGGTTTTAATTTCTCCCTATACGGAAGGGATATCGGAGAGTCATGCATTTATAACAATGCTGGAATTAAGATGGTACTTAAACCCAAAAACTCACTCAGAGGCATTATGCGGGTTAAAGGATCTAGTAGATCCAATTGGACGAAATAACCTAATCTAGTAAATGTCATAATTATAAGATCAAAAACATAGATCAAAGTAGCCAATCAGCACAGGGGAGTGCGAGAATGTAGCGAAATATAAAACCATAGGCTCTACTAAGGTAGGTAATTTGAAGAAAAAATCCCGGCTATCGGTTTGCACGCACTGACTCATAATCATACTACAGAATGGGACAAGATGACAGTTCTAAAATCTAATATAGCTAGGTGGAGAGATCGATTACCGAACCTTAGTTCACTGAATCAACCCTGAAAACATGTAACAGGAGTGATTTGTCACATTCCAGATATCTGATAAATTTTGCTACGATTAAAATAAAAGAATGAAGTAATGTTGACTGCATAAGTGAATTTCGATTACGATTACGACAGAAATAAATTCAAAACCTAGCACAAAAGTACATCAATTCAAGCTGTCAACTGATCATGCTTAAGACTTCACTTACAAAATAATACTGTATAACTGTTTTATTTTTAAAAAAAGACAACTCAATATGGAAATATGTATCAAAATAATTGAGTTTTACTCCTACAGGGAGAGCAGATGTTTGAAATAAACTGAAAGGAAACAGGGGGAAGTGATGGCACAATGTGAAGTCACTAATATGACAGATAAGTGAAAAAAGGATTTCGAAACTTAAAACAATTATATCACATCTGTTATTCGGTAACCGATGACAGAAAATTTCTGAATATTAACGCAAAGCTAGGTTCCAAACTCTGAGATTTCCTCGGGAAACTGGATGATAATGGTTTCAACCATTCTCACTTTTCACCCTGCCTACTTTTCTCTGCTAACCGGTAGTTTCAAAAGCACACAGTGTGTGGTTTACAATCTAGTACATATCTATACTAAGTAGCGATATTATTTATTGATCACTTCCAACTCGTTTGCTTCGGTATGCAAATATAAATTGATTGGCAGCTAGTGGTGGCACGATATCGTAATTTTACCATTGTCTAGTAACACAACTAGCAGTTTTGCTGGTTCAGTCAGACCTTAAGAGATGAGTAGCTTTTTTATGCGTACCATTTAATATACAGGTAATCTTTCGGGTATGCCACAAAAGATAAGGCTAAGAACGGAGTCAACAGGCTGCCATAGCATCCCAGCCAAATTCATATTTTCTTTTCAGTTATTTCAACATATCACAAAACGACATTAAATACTACCTTCTTTCATGAAAATGTCCTCCGAAAACATTAAAACTGAGATATAAAACAGATGTAAAAGCGATTTAGAATCAATTGGCATTAAGGATGATACATAGATTACACATGAGACATCCAAAGTTTGTAGGTGTTCGGTGAATCAGACTAAAAAAAGTTAGATTCAATGCATCTAGGTGTATAGATGTATTAGATACGTCGTTCTAGTAATCTCCATCTTCAGTCTGGTTTACTTCTCATATGTGAATATATACATAGTTAATTTTTTGCGGCATAGGTGTCATTGATAACGAAAGGCTGAAATTATTGTCAGTTACCTAACCAACTTTCTGACAGGTCAAAGTATGTGACTGCAGAATCGAGCAGGACAAAAAGGAGAGCTAAGCGAGGGTTCCTCAGACATATGACACACGCCATCAACTTTAAATTGACTTTTGCAGCTATTCCTGCATTCAAACATCACCCTAGTTACTGAGCAGAGATTAATGCTGGGAAAAGGCCATATCAATCCTGGGCGATAAGAGTAGCAAACCAATGATACACTAAATCCAATGAAAGTACCATTTCAATGCTCGAAGTTAACTTCAGCTAAATAATATGAGCACGCAAACAGAACTACTTGAGAAAACTTTAATATGACATCAATCCATTTGTCAGCGAAGTCAAAGATATGTACAAAATCATACACAGTAGCAGGTGCATAGCGAGAATCCACAACAGCGTGAAAAAAATAAGAACAGCCGAACTCTAGGTCACAGGCAGATTCGAATGCCTAAAAGTGAGCATTACACCGATCCACAAGGCTGGTTACGCTTTGAAGATAGTCGGAACAAAAGGATTCTACCATCCTTAGATAACTTCTCCATTGTCGTTGAGCAGATAACCATATTTTCAAGCCAATAGTGTCAAGTCTCACCGCGTATGTACCAAAAGGAAGTGCAGATGATATTTATCTTAGCATAGAGTTCCATTGATTCGCATATTATTGTGAATGAAATGAAATAAACTATATAGCCAAACAGCAATTTTCCAGGATAGATATCACGAGTCTACGGCTAATCAGCCAGCATCAACGTAGGACAGGCCACTAGAGCTTAACGGTTGAAGCTAACATACATCCTGTCAACGTATAAGGCAGCAGGAAATGCAGCAATTCAGTAGTAGAAGGTCGAAAAATCCGATGAGGAAGGAGAGAAGCAGAATCGAAATCTAGAATGGTGATTAACCTGAAGACAAAGTATTGATAAATCCACCCCACTAAGGTAGCTTCTGAACGACAGTAAAATGAGCTTAATCCCTATTTCAGTTGTCCTAAAACCGAAAATCAGCTTGACATTAGCCATTTATTCATTGAATAACCCAATGCTAACACTGACTAAGCTTGGTCGCGGTTTACCACCATATTTAAGAAGCAGGCACTTGAAGGCTGTTAGCAAGGTAACTACGAAAACCCTGAGACAGTTGACGTAGCGAGGGACAGAAAAGGAACAACTATAATGTATAGTGTATTCTTCATTGTGCCAATGAACCTTTGCTAATCAAAACATCTGATCCCATGGAGCTAGTTGTAAATATAATTTCGTCACATTTGACTGAGTAAGTACTTGACCACCATGAACGTCATCAAACTTTTGGAACTGACACCATAGAAATCTATCAAATAACTCCACCATAATCAAACCAAATGAAAGGTAATTTATGGTTTAACTAATGAAACCTAGGTTTTATCCAGTTCAGTGTGCTACGTTTGTCTTGCATCTATGCCAAGAAAGTTTGCACCATAGTCAACAAAGAACCTTAACATAAGTCTTCATACATATCCTGTGTCTTAGTATCCCGGATCACATGTAAACACCATATAATGTCCTTGCTTTCAAATATGAAAGGCTCAAGGTCATTGATTACTAACCTTAGTTATCTGGTAAAACTACAACTCTGTTGCTTCCGCATCATCTTATTTATGAGGCCAAATCAAACATATTGAAGGTGCAAGTACGCACTCAATTTGTAGCGCAGAGATCTTGATGATACATAATCCTAAGCAAGGACCATGTGTGCAGAAACAATTTGCCCAGCTCCTTTCACCACCCTTCGACCTGACTTACTATTTTCAACGACATATTTCACCAGTCTAGCTCTTCCTTGTTTTTGTTTTATTTCTGTCCATTTCAATCTACATACTTTCA